AAAAGAAAGAAGAAGAAGTGCAAGCTATCACCACTAAGAAATTAAAATTGAGACCTTTTACCTAATACCACTAATATCCTGTATACCAACCTTCTTACCTAACCATTTTCAATATTTCTTAAAACTCATACCATTACTAACCAATGCAAACTCAGAAACCTACATTCCAAACCAATGTTTATCCCTGAGCACTTTCACCGTGACCTTTCTCTCAGCCAAATACCATAGACTTTAATCGAAGGGAACCTCAAAATAATCTAGAGCAGCAACAACTTAATCTAATTCCTGTGACTTACACAAAATTGTTCCTTTAGTTATTTCAAAAACACTTAGTGGCTTGATAACTCATAGAGCCTTTAAAACCTCTATATTTGATATGGTGTGATCCTAAAGCTTTTTGTGAATATCATAATGGGATTCAGGACCATTCTCTAGAAATTGTACAACTTTTAAATGTAAAGTGCAAAGCTTGATTGATAACAAAATTTTAAATTTCACAATAAAAGATAGACCAAGTTTAGAGGCCAATCCGTTACCTAATCATGGTAGGGGATAAGTAAATGCTCTAAATAGCAAGACAAATCAAAACATTAAAAGAGAAGTAAGTGAGATTAGAACCTCTATGGATCAAATATTTGTCGCCCCAATGAAAGCTAATAGATTTGCCCAATACCTAAAAACTCAAAAAATGAAAACTTCACATATAATTATGATCACACTTATGAATTTCATATAGGGGAGGTTGATAATTTGTTTCAAGATTATGAAGCATTTCAACAAGAATTACAAAGGATGATGGATTCTTTCTTGGTTAAAATTTATGAGGAATAGGAAAAAAGTTTAGTAAATGTTGTGACTGGAGATTCGTCTAAAAACAGGCTTTACTGAATGAATTTTGAGCCTGTTACCATCTTTTATAAAGAGAAACTGAGTGTTAAGATTGATTAGCTAGTTCATATAAATTTTAAGCCTGTCACCATCTTTTATGATGACAAATTGATTGCTAAAATTGATGAACCAATTTGTATAACTATGCTAAAGGTGACGATTGAGGTTCTTAGCCATTTTTGTATAAAACTGATAAGGCGGTCCCTTGGAAATATGATTGTAATATCATATCACAAGATTTGAATAATGGTTCCCTTCAATATAGCTCATATGATATAAGTACAGCAAACATAGCTAGTGTATGGGGCATAACTCGAAGTGGACGGTGCTATACTCTAGAAGCACTTGAGAGAGCATAAAAAGGAAAAGAAAAAAAAGGGAGACAAGCTTAGAAAAAGAAGATAGACCATCTAACGATCAAGAGCGTCACCTAACCCTTATTTTAGATAAAAAATGTAAGAATCCAATTATAGAAAAAGAGGTTTGTTAGTTCTTAAAACTTATTAAGCATAGTGAGTATAGTATGGTGGAGCAATTGAATCGCTTACTAGCTCAAATTTTTATGTTTTTGTTGTTGCTAAATTCTGAGCCTCATAGAAATGCCTTACTCAAAGTATTCAATAAGGCTTATGTAGCTCACAATATATCTATGAAAAAACTTGATCGCACAGTGGAAAATATCACAGTAAGAAATTTTATATCATTTAGCGATGATAAGATTCCACCTGGTGGTGGAGGTGATGCTAAGGCCTTACATATCTCCACAAGATACAAAGATAACACATTGGCTAAGGTGTTCATTCATAATGGATCCTCTTTGAATTCATACATCTGACTACCCTATCTAGATTGCCAGTTGACATATCTTACATGAAGATGAGTCACATGGTAGTGAGGGCTTTTGATAGGACTCACCGTGAAGTGATAGACGATATCAAGCTATTAATTTAAATTGGCCCATGTATTTTTTATATAGTATTTAGGTTATAAATATCGCTCATTCCTATAGCTATCTTTTAGAAAGGCTATGGATTCACATGCCAAGAGCTATCCTTTCCACTTTGCATCAAAAGGTAAAATTAATAATTGATGAAAAAGTAATCATTATTGCTAGTGAAGAAGATTTGTTGGTGACTAAACCATCTACTGCATTATATGTTGAAGCAGCTGAGGAAGCCCTAGAATGTTCTTTCAGATCCTTTGAATTTGTTAATGCAACCTATGTGGGTGAAAGATCAAAAGTGCTAATTCTATGTCTATCCAAAGTTTCCAAGAGGGCTCTCAAAGAAATGATAAAAAAAGGACAACAAGTGTGGGCTGACTTGTAGGGGATGTAACGTTTGTGGATGATGCCTAAGAAAAATGATGATTTGGTCTGAGGTACAAGCAAACTAAAAAAAAAATGAATAAAGTTTATAGAGGAGAAAAGAGAAAAAAAATCGGCTCATTTTCTAAGGTAACAGGCAAAAACTAAAGGCTTAGATTTTTTTCCCCTCTACGAGACTTTCATCTCAGCTAGTTATATCTATCCAAATATAGCAAGAAACATAAAAAGGGGGTTTACACCATTATTGAAAGATATCAGTTTTGAAAGTCTCATACAGGTGTAAGATAACCATTAGTCTTGTTATTTTACCTGTCAACCTTCTCTTGATCTCTCATTCTGCTACTTCATAGCCTAGGCCTAGCTTTTCACTATTGTCTACCACTGTCGGGAGTTCCCTTATTCATTGTAAGTTCTTACCCAGCCCTAATCCTAGATACCAGCCCTTATTGATGACTTGGCTCATCACTATTCTTGAAAAAGGTTGATTTTTAAGTCCTTCACCTATAGAATTAACTAGTTTAAAAGATCGATAGGAGCATTCTACTACTTTTTTGATAGCCTCTACATATAGAGCATTCAACGATTGGGTCACTAGCATGTCTTTTTTCCCAACTACCACTACCAATTGACCTTCTACATTAAACTTGATCTTTTGGTGCAAAGTAGAGGGCACAGCACCTGCCATGTGAATCCATGGCCTTCTTAGCAGACGATTGTAGGATAGAGAGATATCCATCACTTGAAACTTCACATTAAAAATGCACGACCCAATTTGCAAGGGTATCTCGATATCTCCCAAGACTTCTCTTTTGGTCTCATCAAAAGCTCTCACGATCATTTGACTGCCTTTCATATGAGAATAGTCAATGGGTAACTTTGCCAAAGTTGACATAGGCATGATGTTGATAGCGGAGCCATTATCAATAAGGACTTTGGCTATGATATGGCTCTTGCACTTGACCATGATATGCAAAGCCTTGGCATTTCCCCTTCCCTCCGAGGGAATCTCATCATCGCTAATGAAATGTAATTCGGCATGACTAGATTTTTAGCCAGGTGGTTCACATATTCAATCGATACATTATGTGCTATATATGCTTGGTTCAATACTTTCAGCAGGGTATTTCGATGTGGTTTTGAATTTAATAGCAATGATAATAATGAGATTCGTGTTGGCATCTTGTTCAACTATTCAACAACTGAATATTCACTATGTTTTACCAACTTCAGGAATTCACAAGCCTTTTTTTTGACACCGACTTCGGGCGATCTTCCTCAGGTTCTACTTTAGGGTTATTTTATCTTTTTCTTACCTTAGCTTTCTCTCTTTTAGCCTTCTCTAATATTTTTGAAGTGTAGCATCTTTCACTTCAGGTAATGCCTCTTACACTAATTATATTGGAGGCATCAGTTTTAGAGACATCCTCTTCTTGTCCCTGAACTACTGTATCGTAGTCATATTTCCAGGATACAGCTTTATCATCCTTATATGGGAATGGAGTCAAAAATTTAAAAGTTACTGACCTGGGAATGAGTTTATCTAGGATTGATTTTGGCTTATTCCCACAATAAATTGTCACTGACTTTGGAAACAACTTTGCAAGCTTATCAGTCATGGATACTTCAACACTTTCTAAGTCTTTTCCCTTTTTGTAGACCTCCATCTAGTATGAATCTAAGAGTTTTTGCACCTCTTAGTGAAACTGCTCACAAGTTTCAATAGAGTAACCCATTGCTCCACTATGATATTTACAACTAGTGTCTGCTATATATACTCTATGATAGCTGTGCGGACTCACTGGTTGTATCATGTCAGCTTTTCATAAAACATCAAATAGCTAACTGAGAGGTGTCTTAATATTTGCCACGTCTTTTTTCAAATGGCACTCCTGTTTTTCACTTAAAGCATTCACATTATGATTAGGCAAAAGATTACCACTAATATTTGGTACAGTCACCCATTATGTATCAAAGCTAATCATTCCATCCTTGATCAACCATTGCACTTTATGTTTCAAGGCAGTGTAATTTTTAGTAAAGTGACTAGCAATCCCATAGTGATAGTCACAATGGGCTATGGGATCATACCACTTAGGGTAAAGTGGCTTAAGGGGCTCTAATTTACTAGGAGCAATCAGATGACTGTTGTAAAACTCACGATATAATTTTGTATAAGTCATTGGGATTGGGTCAAATACAAGTTTTTCATGAGTAGTTCGTTGCTCCCGAGAACCTCCCATTGGGCTAGCTAGACGGGTCTGAGGCCTTGAGGTAGGTTGAGTGTTAGGACTGTATATCACATTTTGAGGCCTAAAAGAAGGTTGATATGTTTGGGGGTAGGATGGCTATGAGATGGGTTGGTATGGATAAGGAGAGGTGTTATTCACAGTATGATAATATGAGGGGTATCTTTGTGATGGGTAAGATTGACAACCCCTGAATTGTTGCCTATCAAAGCTCACAGCTTGAGCTTCAATTTTTTTTTCTTCGAGGCTTTTTTAGTGGATGCTTCACTTCCTTCTAACTTACCATTCTTGATGACACTCTCAATAATTTCTCTCAAAATTACCATGTCAGTAAAATTTTTGATTGCATTCCCTATCATCTTCTTATAATAGGGAGATTTCAAAGTGCTGACAAATAACACTATAGTCTTTTTTTCAATCAGAGGAGGTTGTACCTGAGAAGCTACATCCCTTCATCTCTAGGCGTATTTTTTAAAAGACTCATTTACCTTTTTTTTCAAGTTCTGTAAAGACAAATGATTAGGAGCCAGATCGATAATATGTCGATATTGACTGATGAAGTCAATATCGCTCTAAGAATGAATACGGGTTCTGTCCAGCTGGACATACCACCTGGTAGCAGAGCTTGTAAGGCTATCTTGAAAAACATGCATTAATAATTTTTCATTATGGGCATGGGCTGCCATCTTCTAGCAATACATGGTGATATGAGTTTTTGGGCACTTCGTACCATCATATTTCTCAAATTTTGGTACTCTGAACTTTGATGGAATGACTACATCTGGGACTAAGCACAGCCCAGCAGCATCAACAGAACCATAAAATCCAATCCCTTCTACAGCTCGTAATCTTTGTTCAAGCATACTAATCTTTGGATCTTCCTGAGACTCTACCACTTTTGCTTTTTCTTTCTTTTTTTTTTTCAAGTCATCTAGATCAGGAATCGATTCTACTACCTTTTCAATAAAGACAGGATTTACATAGCTATGGTAATGCCCTGGTTTCTAAGCTGATGGTATTCCAGGGTATACAGGATATGAGAACTGTTGTGGCAGAATATCCTGTATGGGTTGGGCTTGTTGTGGACCAAAACCTGGAGGATACAAAGGGTTAACCACTTCTTGTGATGGAAGGCCTTATTGGCTTGTATTTTTTTCTATTCTTTTTCCCTTGTTCAGCTTATTGAGAACATCTAAAATCTTGCTCAACTCATTTTTAATCTTTTCCTGTGCTTTCTCCAGCTTTTCAAATCTGTGAGAATTTTTTTGCTCTATTTGTCTGGCTTTGGCTCTTGTGTTATATCGATGGATAGGGTTCTTGCTAGATAGGGCTATCCTTGAATCTTGAATACCATATCTTAGAATTAGCAAATTTATATGACTATCTTATGGTTACTTTGTTAAGTGTAATGAGTGAGAATGCAATGAATGAAAATACATGTATGCAAAAAACATTTGCCTTAAGATGGTATTTAACTAAAATATTTCATTTATTCCAAAAAAATTTTATTTACATTGAGTTTATCATCTTAGAGTTATAACTATAAAATCATTTGATCTACTCATATTGGGCCTTGGCTTCTTTGATGAAGTTCAATAGACACTACCCATGTTCTCCTATTAGGGCCACCACTTGTTTTAATACCTTTACCTCTTCTACCATCTCTCTTGCCTTGCATACCCTTTTACAAATTTGGGTTGCTAGGTGCTTAATGTACTTTTATCTTTCTAAGTTCTCTCTTTTACTATAATAACTCTCTATGCTCTCTAACCAATGCAACAATATGGTCTTCTTGTTCATTCAACTTTTATCTCAATCTACTTAGGTAGCTATTCAACAGGTTATTCTCTATCTGTACTTAGGTACTTTTTTCTTCCAATTTAGCATATTCTTGTTTCAATCTTGCGTTATCTTTAGTCAGCTTAACAATTGTTATCTCTTTGGCCCTTTCTCTCACACATAACCTCTTATGTTCTTGGTATAGCTTTGCTAGGTCTTCAATAGCTGTATCACATTCTCTAGCAATCTTGCAAACTTTGGCTTCAAGTCTTTTAGCTCTATCTTTTCACTGATCTTTTTTTTTCTCGAAGCTTCTGGATTTTTTGCTTTAACTTATCCTTTTTAAACTCAAACTCTTTTGTCGCAAGCTCTAATTTTGATGGTGTCTCTTCAAGCTTTCTTCCTATTGGTGGTTGAAAGCTTTCATAAGTGAATACCATTTTTTGTTTTCGTTTTGCTCTCTAAGGTAAATACCCTAGCGTGACTTTATCAATAAACGGTCCAGGACTCATTCTTCGGGGGTTTTTCCATGCTTTAATCATCTCATTCATCCTCTGAAATGCTTTTGGCTCACTGTAAGAGAAATATAACTGATGAAGCCCATACATCATAGGAATGAATTGTTCTGCCCCGAACTTCCTTCTCACTAGGAGTGGTGCATATTTTGTCGCTCGACATAAATCCAAAAGTGAGACCACTGTAGTATCCCCACACCGATACAACATAGGTTCACGATTCATCCATAAGACCAACCATCTTACTTTGGCACTGGTCAATTTTTGTAGGAAAGCTATCCACTCCTTTTTAGACTATTGTTTTGACTGCCCACTTTCATAGAATTCCTTGATCGGAGCTCGATTGTGGACATAAAGCTTTGAGAAAGCACCTTTTCTCCATTTGAAGTGGCTTTTCATCCATAAGTATAATAACTGTATGCAGCTTATAAAGCACCCTCCATTCTGACGATAATAACTCAAAGATCTGATAGTCTCTGCTAATATTACTGTTAAAGGGTTATAGCCATTGATCACACTCTCAAAGAAGTCAACCACCACTATTTCAATGTAACCCAAAACCTTTGGAAAGCTCACTATTTTGTATATAGCTAAGGTAAATACATCTAACCCCCGTTCTTCGTTGGTATGTTGCAATAGAAACTCATGAAAGAACTTTCACGATAGGCAAACCTGTTCCTGTTTCTTCTTTGTATAAGAATCCACAACTTCTTTGTCTATCCCTATGAGTTGAGCCAAACCCTTACGAAATCCTGACTTATTTTTTTTTACATATATCTTATCAGGAGCCTTGAGGTGCAAACCCAACAAAGTCGAATATTCTTCGATGATTAGTGTCATATCAACTTTATTGAAAATGAAACACTTGTATGCAGGATTCCAGAATTATACTATAACTCTGATTAGTTGATCATCGACAACTACTGTGAGAAGATGTGCTATATACTCGTGTCTCTGGCAAAACTACTCTTGTCTTGACGGACTCATCTTCTTCCATAGATCAACCAAATCCTCTAGATTGTTTTATTTGAAGAGGATGGATGTTTCTTGAGACAAGGTATAATCTTATCCGATTGGTAAATAATTCCTCATATTCAGTTGAATCTTTTCTGACTGGACCCTTACTTTGTTGGGTGACTCGTAAGGAGCTAATATAGATGAAGAACAAACTAGTCGTTCTGTGGAGTCCATGAAAATTTTTTGTTAAAAACTGTCTTTCAAGCAAATGTTCTTTATGCAATTTTTATGATATGAGCATGAACCAATGCAAAAGAATGAGAGAAAAGGTTAGTATGCCAAAAAAAAGGAATAAATAAATAACTAAGTAAATTAAAACATCGCACAAAATAAGAGGAATGAACCCTATGCTTTTTGTCAATTCTAAAAAGGAAGAATGATGGCTCTATCTATAGGTTAGGCACTCTTAAGGTTCACTATATGTGGTTTGAGGTTAAAGTTTAAAGGTTCCCAAATTGCTCCTTACATCATTGTCTATCACAGACTAGTAAGGCATCCTAATCCTCACCCATTACAGGCTACAAGCGAAAAAGGTTCAATTTGAGTGGGAGTATTTCGCTAGCCACTGCGGAGGCATTAAACCTCACGAAAGCAATAGGTACTTTACTCCCTCCTAGAGGAACGGAGCTCGAGTATAGAGCTCATGTTATGCATATGCATATGAATGACATAATTAATAAAGTAAATAAACATGAATGAATAAAAAAAATATATACAAAAAGGTTCAATTTTATTAGGCTTTTGGATAACACAAATTTATTTACTGGCCTGACTCTAGACGTCCCTAGTGGAGTCGCCAAGCTATCATAATATCTAGATTAGGGGATCTATCGCTAGACATTGACTTGAAGGAGTCGTTACTAATCTTTTTTTTTTATCTAAGTGTGATTGGCCACTTAAGGAATTTATCCTTTTAAGGAACACCTATATCTAAGGGTCCCTAAAAGAATAGGTTCAGGTCTACTAACCAGAACAAGGTTTGGGAGTACGGTCACATGTGAGGAAGGTTATAGCACCCTCACAACGCCCATCAAAAGATGGTACTAGCTTAATTTTGTGTTATCCAATAAGCCTTAAAAATTTACCAAGTAATTAGTTATTGAAAATTATTCTCAATTGACTCTAATACTTTTAGTAGAAAATTGAAAAAATTCTCTCACCTCAAGAGTATACAAGGAGATTAATGTTTCACTTACAGAGGCTCTATCATCGAATTATTTACCATTAAAGAAAATTCAAGAATAAAAAAAAAAATGATACAGCTTTATATATAAATCATTTTCTCTTCAAAAACTCATTGCTTTTGTACAAGAAAAATTAATACTTTCAACCTTTCCTCAAAAATATTTTTTTAGAAAACTTATTTCCAAGAAAAATTGATATTTTCAACTTTTCCTCAAAAATATTTTTTAGAAAACTTATTTTCAAGGAAAATTGATACTTTCAACTTTCCCTCAAAAATATTTTTTAGAAAACTTATTTTCAAGAAAAATTGATACTTTCAACTTTTTCTCAAAAATATTTTTTTTTAGAAAACTTATTTTTAAGGAAAATTGATACTTTCAACTTTTCCTCAAAAATATTTTTTTTGAAGACTTATTTTCAAGGAAAATTGATACTTTCAACTTCTCCTCAAAAATATTTTTTTTTTGGAATTTTATTTAAAGAAAATCAAAAAATAAAATAAGATAAAACTAAAAAAAATAAAATAAAATAAAATAAGAAATACTAAATAATTCTAATCTAATCAATAAATAATAATAATAAATAAATAAATATAAAAAAACCTTCTGAACTGCTCAGCTCGGCTCGGCTCCAAAAACGGCTCTGCTCAAGATAGAAAGAGCGGCTCGGGGACGTCAGCTCAACTCGGCTCTGCTCCAGGGGTCTGCTAGCACTCGGGTCACACACGGATCAAACGCGGGTTGGCGCTCAGGTTGGGTTGATCGATTTCAAAATGCGTGGATCCTCTGGGAATAGTAACACCAAAACGGTATCATTTTCAGCAAGTATAAAAAGGCTCTAACCTCTGTTTTTCAACAGATCGCTTCTTCTTTCTCTTTCTTCTCCTCTTTTTCTTTTTTTCTCTCTCTAAACAATCCTAAATTCAGGTTGAATTTCTATCGAAATCTAGAAAAAATCGTCAGAATCTTCAAACCTGGCCGAAAAACTCGTCGAAAAATTCAAAGTTCATCGAAAAATTTCGTCGGATTCTGGAAAATTTCCAAAACTTTTCTAGAAAAAAATGGCCAAAAATTCAAAAAAATTCCCATCAATTCTTAAAGCTGTTCTAACGCATCAGAACCCTTTTTTTAGCTTCTATTTCCTTTCTGTGTGTTTTCTGTGTCTCTTTCCCGTATGCTTCAGTACTTATTTATAGGGATTGATCAGAAGAGTTTTTGATCAATCCAAATTCCCTCTGGGATTTGAATTCAATCTTTGAATCCAATCCTAACTCTGCCAGCCCTAAATTAATGCCAGAATCCCAACTTTTTCTGATCTTAATCCTAATCGAGAATCAATCAAGAAAAAAAAGATAAAATAAAAAATATATATTAATAGATAAATAATAATATATGAATAGATAAATAATAATAAAAAATATATACATATTAACAGATAAATAATAAAATAGATAAATAATTAAAAAATTATATATTAATAAATAATAATAGTAATAATAAATAAATAAATAAAAATAAAATTGCAAATGGGCTTGCTCATTTGGACCAGGCCCAATTGATCCGGGCCTGGACCAAATTGGGTGTCTACATTAGGCCATCATCAAATTAAGATGGCAAGAAGATATGGAAAAGAATACTTTCGTGACATTAT